TTTACACCCATTCTTCAATTTCCTATTTAAATCCCATTCATCAAGACTCCCAAAGAACACAAACAAAAAATGTGAATTCTGATAAAGACCGAAAAGCCTAGGGAAGTGAGGAAAAAAGTAAAGAAGAGTAAAAAAATTCATGATTATTCATGAGCAAGGAAGTGAAAAAGTATTAGATGTAGGCTGGAGAACATATAAACAGAGAGATGTTACAATAGCCTTAAATATTTTTCACCTGGGTTAATTTCTGCAAGTTTAAAAAGATAGCTATCTACGGTGTATTGCTTCTTCTTGTTTATGCTTTGCCATCTAGAATTATAGTTTAATTCCTCAAAGTCTATGCCTGGATGAAACTGATTAAAAGATGTGTTCGTTTTATTTTTTATCACTGTTGTAAAAAAAGTATAATGTAGTTAATGGCTTAAAACAATATGAATTTATCTTAGAGTTCTGTAGGTCAGAACTCTGACTTGGGTCTCATTGAGCTAGAAACAAGGTGTCATCAGGGATGTATTCGTTCCAGAAACTCTAGGGGAGAATCCCTTTTCTTGCCTTTCCCAGCTTCCAGAGGCCACCCACATTTCTTGGCTCATGGCCCCTTTCCTCCATTTCAAAGCCATCAAAGTTGCATCTCTCTGATCCTCCTTCTTTTATCGCATCTCGTTCTTTGATACCTACCAAAGAACGTTTTTTTAATACCTACCTCACTCACTTTTAAGGACCCTTGTGATCACATTGGGCCCCTTGGGATACTCCAGGATAATATCCCATTTTAAGGTTCTTCACTTACATGTGCAAAATTCCTTTTGTCACATAGGGTAACATATTCACAAACTTTGCATGATTAGTATGAAGACTTGTTGGGGCAGGGGAGGGTGGGGCACTAGTCTGCCTACCACAAAAGGTTATGTTTAAAATCCCATTCTTTGAACACTGCTTACCTCTTTCTATCTCTCATACCCTGATTTTACAATCCCTTGAGCTCTTTTGGGACTTTCACTTAATCAAGTTTACTGTTTTTTCACGGTCCATCGTTTTCTTAATATCATTTTTCTCCTTCTTATTAAACTAAATTCCATGGGTTATCATTACATTTACTTCTTATGTACATCCTCTACACCCTTGGCCTCTTTTGTCACACTCACTTGGTAGAATCCAAACTTTGGTGACTCCATTTCTCTCCCTAATCTTGTCCTTGTATAGCTGAGAATGGCTGGAGTAACACATAGTCTTGCTGTCCAGTCTCCTCCAGGTTTCAAATGAGCCCTTGATGCTGCTTGGCATGTTATTTTCCTTGTCTGTTTATTTTCCTACTTTCCCAGAAGACTATTTCTTGCCTTCTCCTTGTTATACCTTTTACTTCTACTTCCCCATCCTCCCTCTTGGCTCATGAATTGACTCTTTCCTCACTGAGAAATGCAAAGCATGCAGAAGAGGGCTCTGCAGATTCCCCATGTATCTCTTCACAGGTCAGCTTCTCTGTTCTCACACTCTGCCTTCCTCCTAAGGATCTTTGGGCTGAATCCAGACATTCATGATTTTGCATGCAAAAATGCATCTTTACTTCCATTCACTCCTAAGTCTAGCATTTCCTTCAACTATGATGTAGGTAGCAAACCACAGTGAACCACAATAGCATTAACAATACCTATACTTCTGCCATCAGTAGACATCATAAATACCTATATTTATATTGTAAAACAGTTTTTGCAGATATCTCACAATATTGTACACACATATCCCTACTTTGAAATTATGGTAGTTATTAGGCCTAATGTTAGATCTTATTATTTTTAGCATTAATTAAGAAGAACATGCATTGGGATACTACAGATTCAATTTTTAAAATGATTTAATAACTGTTTAAATAAAATTAGTTTTCTTTGTAGTCCAATGTATGTAACACTCAAGTGTCCAGAAGGGTTCTAGAATAAATTTTTGTTCAATTTAATTGGATAGTGAGTGTTACCCTTCATATACAGATTAGCAACTATGACTTTTTCCCTCTAAAAAAGCAAAGCCATAAAGCAACAAGAATAAAATATAAATGAATGAATACATATCTACTCTTTGAAGAATAGAGTGAAGTTATAGAAAATGGAGTCACTATGGTCAAGATGCTAAATTATTAAAACAATGTAGGTTGAGGCATGAACGTACAATTTTATTCTCACCTTAAGTGGTCTGGGAACTTAAACTTCTGAACTTTCTAGTCACGCATCAGTCCCTGGATACCTGGGCATACATCAAACCCTCAGACGATCATCTGAATTACCTCAAGAAGAAATTTTTTCATTGTTCAGGCTACTGGACATCTTGTTGATCTACCGTTGTCGAGGGCACATATATGTTTGTTGATTTGAGAGAGAGAGAGAGAGAGAGAGAGAGAGAGAAACTGATTGGTTGCCTCCCATATGTGCCCCAACCAGGAAGTGAACCCACAACCTAGGTATGTGCCCTGACTGGGAGTTGAATCTTCAACCTTTTGTTGTATGGGACGAGGCTCCAACCAACTGAGCCAAACTGGCAAGGGACGTGACTTGCTTTTGCTTAAGAATTCTTATGTTCAAACTATTTTATGTGGTTGCTTTTGAATTCTGAGTTTTTAGGGCCAGCCATCAGACCTCCCCTGAGTTTGTCAGGGTTAGTATGTGGCTCCTTTTTCATTCACACTATCTTGGACAAATACTGACACTAAGAATGCAAGACCTATTCTTCTCAAAAATTTTTTTACAATAGGAACCAACCCTCAGCTTTTCTTTTTCCTTCAGAACACATCTAGTTTTCTCTTTGATGTGTTTCCAGTTTGCAAACTCTTAAGATCCTTGAATAAGTCTTTGTCTTTGTTTTCTAGCAAAGCCTCTCGACTCTTTTTGAGTTCATTTGACAATTTGTAATGAGAATATTTATTGTAAATATAAAGACAAATGACCTCAGCAATAAGTATGACAGCAAATAAAATTTAATCTTAGTACATTAAAAACAGCATAAAATAATCAAACTTCTAACAAAATTAAATTGCAACATGTATGACACATGAAATTATATGGCTAATATATAATGATTTCTTATAAATCAGTAAGAGGAAAGATGATACAGGTTAAAAAAATGGGTGAGATACATAGAACAATAATTCAGAGCCCTGTCAAGATGGAGGTGTATGTAGACATGCTTCACTTCCTCGTGCAACCACAAAAAGGAATTACAACTAAATATCAAAACAAATAACACCTAGAACTGTCAGAAAGAAAACTGAACTCTATGGAAGTCCAATAACCAAGGATCTAAAGAAACTATATTCATACAGACAGGTAGAAGGGACGGAGATGCGGAATTCAAAAAAAAATCGAGGATAGAATAAGAAGACTCTTGGACATCTCCAAACATATCAACATCTGAATCATAGGGATGCCAGATGGAGAAGAGGAAGAGCAAGAAATTGAACACTTACTTGAAAAAGTAATGAAAGAAAATTTCCCTAATTTGGTGAAGGAAATAGACATACAAGTCCAGGAAGCTCAGGGTCCCAAACAAGTTGGACCCAAAGAGGACCACACCAAGGCGCATCATAATTAAAATGCCAAAGTTTAAAGATAAAGAGAGAATCCTAAAAGCAGCAAGAGAAAAGCAGTTACCTACAAAGGAATACTCATATGACTATCTGCTGATTTCTCAAAAGAAACTTTGCAGGCAAGAAGGGACTGGCAAGAAGTATTCAGAGTGATGAAAAGTAAGGACCTACAACCTAGATTACTCTATCCAGCAAAGCTGTCATTTAGAATGGGAGGACAGATAAAGTGCTTCCCAGAAAAGGTAAAGTTAATGGAGTCAATCATCACCACGCCATTATTGCATGAAGTATTAAAGGGACTTATTTAAGAAAAAGACCAAAACTATGAACATTAAAAGGCAACAAATTCACAGCTATCAACAACTGAATCTAAAACAAACAAACAAACAAAAAAACAAACGACCAGAACAGGAACAGAGTCATAGATATGGAGAACATTTAGAGGGTTATCAGTTGGGAGGGGGAAGGGGGAGAATGGGGGAAAAGGTGCAGGGATTAAAAAGCATAATTGGTAGGTACAAAATAGACAAGGGGAGGTTAAGAATAGGATAGGCAATAGAGAAGCAAAGAACTTACATGCATGACCCATGGACATGAACTAAGGGGGGAGATTGCTAGAGGGAAGGGGGGGTGCCAGGTGAAGGGGAGAAAGGGGAAAAGAGTGCAACAACTCTAATAATATAATCAACATAATATACTAAAAAAAGTAGAAAAGAATAATAAATTACAAAAGAAATGAAACGACAAATAACATATAAATCAATCATAACCCACAATGTTATGTTATTTTTGCTTATCAAAAAATAAAATTCTATTTTATCTGTGACTCAGTAATTCTACTTCCAGGACCTTACTCCAAATAATTAGAGAACTATACAAATGCATATGTTCAAGAATGTTTATTGAAGCAATATTTATGAAAAACAACCTAAAAATCCCATAATAGAGACAGGTTAATAAAGTAAGGAAGAGTTATACCACAGAATATTTTACAGCTGTTCAAAATCATGATTTTTGCATAATACACAGTGATATGGGAAAATGCTTAAAATGCATATTTCAAGGTTAAAAAAAGATAAAATACAGAGCAGAATTCCACAATTTCAAATACAAATGCATATATATACAGATACCACAAATCAAAAAAATGACTACAGGAAAAATATGTAAATGTTAATACCTGTTATTTTCATGTAGTGAGATTATGAGAGATTTTATTTTCTCTTTTAAAGTTTTCTGTATTTCTTTACAACACAGCATATGCATGCACTCTTGCATTTTTCAATTTTCTCAAAATTATTAGGTATTGCATTTACATTTAGAAAAGTAATAAATAAATGTTAATGACAACAATAATAATAATAAAAAAGTGAGATCCAAGGAGTTCCAAAAGATACAAACATAAATACTAAATGTCCTTTTTTTTGTTTTATAAATGGCTAAATCTTCCAGCTAAAAAGTTTTTATTTCCAGTAGAAACAGTACTTGTATTTTTCCCTTGACCGGATTTTGATTGGGTATCCACTGCAACATATTTGATCTGGAAACCTCCCGCAGTCACTGAAGCATCACTTAGAAACTTTAAGGTCATGACATTTCCTGGGGAGGAAGAGGATGCAAAAGAACAAAGATGTTACTTTCCTTCAATTTAGCTGACAAAAATGTCTTTTCAGGGCTTCCTTTTGACTCTCCCTCCCTCTCTTTCTAAAAATAGGATTCTCACCTCCCATCTACCTCCTACAGCTCGTCTTCTTTTAACTGTCAGTTAACAAAATATATCCTTTAGACAAGAATATGAGATGAACAAAAAAAGTTTGTCATTCCTGGGGAGATTGTAACAGAGTAATGAATTAATAAGTTTTAAGCATTATGCATTCAAGAATTGAACAAGTAGTTCCATCTCTTGGGATAGAGATGAATAAATGAAATTATGTGCAAGGCTAGAGTGTGGGAGTCATGTAGCTAGTAATATCTGAGCTTAAGGACTGTTTTTAGTTGCATAAGCGTTGTGATAATTTTATGGCTTGAAGGAAAAAGAGTGTGTAAAATGCCAAATGCTAAAGTTGGTGATGAAAATAAAAAAAAAGAAAATGACATCTAAGAAAATAAAAATTCTTAGCCAGAAAATAGCAGTTTGGGTTAATAGCAGTGGTATCACTTAATGAAATAAGTTTATGCTACTACAAGGATATTTCTTGAGGTTATGTTTCACGGAACAAGGCACACAAAATAATTTGCAAGAGGAAAACAATTTGGAAAGCATTGCCTACCACAGCTAGCCTTTTGAGATTCACTATGCATAATAAACACATTAAAAGCTCTCTGCTGTCTTCCAATAAAGAAACCTGTTTAACATTATTGAACCCAATGTTACCCAAATTTATTTGACCTTAGAGTCCTTTTCTCATGTAGCGCCTATTTAAAAACTTCGCAGTACTATGTTCTTTACATAGTACTTTGGGAAATGCTTTACCAAGATTAAAAAATGCAATAAATAAGATATAAATTTTTTTCAGTGACAGAAGGTATTTTTTTAATCCTCACTTGAAGACATGTTTATTGATTTTAGAGAGAGAAGCATGGGAAAGAGAGAGAAAGAGACACATGCATGTGAGAAACATCAAAGAGTTGCCTCCAATATATGTACCTACTGGGGATAGAATCTACAACCTAGGTATGTGCCTTCACAGGAGATCAAACTCACAACCTTTTGGTGTACGAGATGATGCTCCAACCAACTGAACCACCCCGTCATGGCAACAGAAGGTATTTTTAACTATTTTATAAATTACTTCAATTCTTTATCAATGAAAATTTGGGCCTTTCATTACATTTTACAGAAATCATAAGCCACAGCAGTATTCTTGGAATTGCAGATTCAAGACTATCTCAGACTGCATTTCCTGCAAATAAGGAGTCTACACATTTTCAGTGCAAGAAGTTGGCATAAATGTGTCTCTAAGTATAAATAAATACTTCTTTGAATTTTACGAGCCAGCAATCCAAATCTGTCCACAGTTCTCTCAACTTTAAAAAGTAAATAGTAATGACTACTGGGTCCTTCACTTTCAATGATATTCAGAAAAGAAATCATAATTTTTTGCTCCTTAATTTTGAGCCATTACCTGTACTAGTGATGTCTTCTGGAAGCTCATTCCCACAGTATCTGAAAAGAAATTTTTTTGAAAAGAGAGGTCACATGAATGAATATTATATAGCTATTGCAAGTAGCTCTTACTGATAACTAAAGTGCTTTATTTCCCCTAAGTAATGGCTCATTTTACTAATGTTTTATCACATTGTTTTTTTAAAATTTGAATTTGTAAGGGAGAAGAGGGTAAAACATTATTTGAAGTAATCTGAAAGAAGTAATGATATTTTTAAGAAAGTGTATGTGGCATTTCTACTCTTTGTACCTATAAAACTATTTGTGTAACTGACAATTTGAATCTTTTTGGAAAAATTAAAAATTTGTTTCTGATTAATCTCATCAAGTTTTCTTTGCAGTAGAAGGACAATGAGTATATAGTTGGTGATATTATATTTTGGAATTCTAAAGTTTTAAACATGGAAAAATTACATTGGAGCTTATAGGTCTAAGAGGGTTTGAATTTAATTAGAATCATTCTTTGAAAGGGACTCCCTTACACGTTATATAAAAGTTAAGGGTTCTGTCACTGTCTAAAAGTGTAATTTATTTCAGGGGGTGGAAAATCTATTACAAAGGTAAATTACACAATAAAAATTTATAACCTATTGAAATCCTTTTAAAATGGTAATTTTTAAAAAAATCTAGGGCTGTAATTGATTTGTGAAACTAGGTTTAGAATAAAAACATCATCCTAATTCCCAAAGGAGAGGTACATTGTTTCAAAAAATATTTTGTTCTCAATTCCTTCAGTCTTCTTCTTGTCTTTTAAAAAATACTTTAAAAACTACTGCTTTTTTTAAAAAAATAAAGCAGTAGTCTCAGCCAAAGAACAAAGCGAAACAAAGCAAAAAATACTTTCTAAAAATTGTCGTTCATTTATGCAAAAAATGTCTTTGTTTCCCTTTGTATTTAATTATACATTTCAAAGTTAACATAAAAAACTATTAAGTCTGTGATTCTTAATGGTCCCCATATCATATTCTTTTGTTAAATTATTGTCATGGATAATGGAGAATTGATAATTGAGTCTGTTGACAATGGATAGTCTAAAATACATATTATTAAATAATGACCTGAATATATAAACACCTAATTGTATACTCTTGAGATTGCAATATGTTGTAAGGCTCTCAAAATTTAAACAATATTAAAGTTTTAGAGTGAAAACACAAAAGAATTGTGTCCCAGCACACATGTTGAACACCAAGGGAGAAATATTGAGGAGAGGAGCACTCGCTTTCTTTGGCAAAGAGAGCTACTTTTAAAAAGCTACCTATTGTAGGTTTAGCTAAATTGCATGAAAGAGGGACTATGCTTTACCTATTTACTTTATACCCATAGTACTTAGCACAATGCTTTGTACATAGAAGAAAGGCACAAAATAATGAATTTATCATTATTTTTAGAGGTTGACAGAAATTAGAACACTTAAAACTTCAACGAATTTCCCATCTCACATCGTTCCTCCTCCTGTTGTTAGTCAATCCTGAGCCTTTATAAATAAACTAATTGTTACAGCTTACCATAATCAAAAGGCAGCTCTCACTATTTTAAAAATAAGTAGCAGCTGAGGGTGACTTAACATGCTAAGAAAAAATCTTCATTTAAAAAGCATATGGTGTTGTAGGAGTGTAGAAACACTGGAAAATCAACATTGTAGGGACAGTTGGGGAAAAATTAAAGGAACATTAAACAAAATATTGAATATTCCTTTAACTCCCTGTACAGGGAAACAACACATACCTTCCCACAAAGCCATGGATATCGTCATAACTGTCATATATTTCAACATAGTCAGCCAAGCAAGCTGGGTCATCTTCGAGATCAAAGTCCAAAAAACTCAGGTGAATACGCTGACCATACTTGAGTCTAATGTGCCAGTAGCAAATCTGGTTATCATCATACTCATTTGGGAAACCTGGAGATTTAAAAATTCTCTTTGGATCTGTAAAGATACCACCACATTCTTTTGCTGAAAAGGAAAAAAAAGAAAAACAGATAAGAAAGCACTAGAAAAAAACTATTCCTACTTTAAAATGATATTCACATCCTAGTGTTCATCTATTTATTACTCTTTATCAAATAGTAAAGCAATAGCTTAAATACATCATTTATAGTATGTAATGTATTCTCACAGCTAAAGAATAAATGTATTTTTCATCAATAGTTGCTCAATTTTCTAAAATAAACAGACATTTGTGAACTAAAAAAATAAAGTAACAATAAAAAATAGAAGTTTAATTGTGTTCCTGGTTACATTTTTTGCTTATTTTTCTTTTAAGCATAAAATGCACAAATCTTATGAGTACACATCTATATGTTTTGACAAATACGTGTATTCATGCTACTAGTAGCCCAGTCAAGATGGCAGGGATTTTTTTGTCCCCCAGTATCATCACTGTGTCTTCAGGGACTTGAATATTTAGAATAAGGAGTAGAGTAAGTTCTGTTTGAAAAATCCTTATAGACTTTCAAGATTACAAGAGACCTTGAAGGTCACTCTAATCCAGTTAAAAGGAATAATTTATAATCTTTCTACACTCTTTATGGGTTTTAAACTAACATCTAATCTTATTTAAGGATTTGGTCAAGATTTTTATGTTTGTTTTTTGAAGTCATTCTTCTTAAAATTTTTTTTTAATGTTTATTGATTTGAGAGAGAGAGAGAAAGGCATCAATTTGGCCAATTCTTAAACTCTCAGTTTCCTGATTTCTAAAAGTGTATGTATCTCTTGCCAGTGTGGCTCAGTTGGTTGGAGCATTATGTATACGCCAAAAGGTTGAAGGCCCAATTTCTTGTCAGGATTATAATGCACACCTTTTTGCCCAAATTTTTGAGGGAAAAATAAGGAAATACATTATACATGGGTGGTACTAATCCTTTATGTATATAAATGTCTTTAATTCTCTTATTTATGTTTATAATGTAATGTAGAAATTGAAGACGATGATACTTCTGATATTGGCAGTGACAGAGTTTATGGCCTTCTATGATGGGTAAATATCATACATTTGTTACCAGTACATAAAATTTCTTGTACCTTGTATCTATTTTTGTGTTTTTGTAATTACTTGTTACATAAAATTTCTTGTGCAAATATATACAAAAAATGTTCAAAAATAAATGCTGAAATTCTTTTATAATACAAAAAACAAGTATCTAAATATCTAAGTATAAATAAATAATTGAATTAAAAAAATTGAAACAGAAGATTTTTTTCCTGAAAGTCTGGGTCAAAAATGTGGGTGCACATTATACACAGCAGAATACAGGTACCTAGTTTATACATTTGATCCCCAGTGGGGGTAGGTGTGGGAGACAGCTGACTGATGTTTCTCTCTCTCTGTCAAATCAACAAACATATTTAACATTTTTTTTAATGGGTATAAAAATAGTTCCTTGCAAGGTGGTGAATATTGAGTGATAGTGTAGATTAAGGAACATAAATCAGTGTCTGACACAGCATAATCACTCAGCGCATGGTATTTGTTAATGATTATCATCACTAAATTGATTTATCTCTGGAAAAAGAAGCTATTTTGTTTTAACAACCTCTTAGTAACATGTAACTTTTTTTTGCAAAGTGTAAAATTATTATATTTAACAAACCATGTGGGTTGTAGCAATAAGCGTCCCATCTTTCACTCCTATTGAGACGGACTCCGTAATCAATAATACCAGTTTTTCCAAATCCACAGTTGGCCCCTGGCTTCACAATGGGGTATCCAACTCTGCCCTTGGCCATCCACCCAGCAGCACAGACATGAAATCCTGCAAGAGAATGAAGCGGTTTTACTTTTAACTGGTAAACTTAGCTGAGAGAAGGTCATCTTTACGGTGATGACCTTCTAACAGTGACAGTTTCTTGTAAAAGGGGAAAAACTGTTTTCTTTAAAAAAAATAAAATAAAAGTGGAACACCTATAAAATATAACATTTGACTTTCACTAGAAAAATGACATCTCAAAGAATAAGATGCAGATGAACTAGAAATTATAATACCATAAATACGAAAACAATACAAGTTCAGGGCTGGCTTTTTTTCACCAATGACCTACCTAGTGCAATTTCAGAAATAATTTCTGAAATTATTATCAATCATGAAAAAAATTTTCAGATGATAGTTTAATTAATTTATATTTCAGGATCAATTAAGATATTGCTAACATTTTTAAATATTTGAAGAGGGATAAAAGCACTCATAAATTTCAAACAAAACCTCAGCCCTATTTTTTCTTACTCAAGTTTGGTGGCTGTTTAAATATTTGCCAACACCATCCAAGGACAATTTTACTTGAAGCCCAGAGCAGCTAGTAATGGCTCTGGGTTTGTACCCATCATTCCAGCTATTGTGACACTCAGTTCTGTGGGAACAGAATGAGCAGTTATCTTGGGGAGACTGTGGGGAATTTGAGAGAACACCTGTATTTTTGCCTTGGGTAATGTATAATAATAGCATAAGCTTTGCCAGCTATTTTCCTATCAGCAAAGAGGTTTCTTCATTGGAGAAAGGTTCCAAATGTGGGTGGCCTTTTGGGGACTCCTGAAAGCCTAGGAGAGATGGTAGCAGGCTTTTTTGTTTTGTTTTGTTTTAAATAAAGAAACTAAAAGCACTTGGTAATTGTGGGGTTTTCATGAGGTCTCCTGACATCATCTTCCCAGTTCCTTTCTCCTGCCATCTTATAACTTACTTATCCTCCTTTTCCTCATAGCTTTTGATCCTAAAATACAAATACATTCTCCTACTTAATATAAAAAAAAAGAAAAATTGAAAAAACTTGAAAAAAGCCACTAAATTCAATTTTTTTTCTACCAAGTAAATTTCCATGTAAGATTCAATGTAGTAACATCATTTAACAGCTGAGGAAACCTATGTTCAGAAGTCAATAAGAGATGAAACAATATTAAAGATGAATAGCAATGGCTTTAAATTTATGAGGAATTTAAATGATACCGAGTTAATGTCTTCATCTTATGATTTTTATTTATTATCTCACAATGGGCTGTGACCCCAAATAAGTTGCTAGTACTAGGAAATTTCCACCAGCTAGCTCCAGGTAGAGAACTTGGGAAAAGCCATAGGGCAGAGAGAATAGGGGCTTAGAGAACAGTTAGCAGGGGAGAATAGAGAAGACTTACGGGGGTGGGGGGCGGGGGGTTGTTACAGGAAAGGTGGAATATATTTTCCAAGGGTGACAGAGAAAGAAAGTCATTGTCAAATCATTTACCAATTTTTCTGGCTGCCTCTAGCTGCTTGTAAGTGGCAAGACGGCCGCCTTCATATTCACACACTGCCTTTGCTTCTGCGTAGGTGAGCTTGTATTTGCCAGACCGAGCTTCTCTGTGGTACACGCCTGCTGCTTGTTCTGTGAATTCACAAAATGTTGTAAATGCACTACTATAAATCTTGTGGAAGAGAGGAAATTTTGTGACCTCAGCTGGAAGATTGCATCAGCTATTGTTCCTGCCAAAGGGTTCCCTGGGCCAGCTGCCTTATTGAGTAGCTACATTTTTCATTATTAGAAAGCTTTGGAGAAAAAAATACAGATGAGGGGGGACTTTAGGGGAATCTGGAGGCGTAGACAGAAATTTGAGGCTAAATTATGTTTCCGAACTGGCAACAGGAAAGATTTTTAGTACATTGTATTTCTGTACTACCAAAGGTGATACAGTTTTACTTTTTTTTGGCTTTAAGTCATCTAAATACTTGGAAAGGTAATAAAGGAGAAGAAAGGAGGTGAAGGCAAAAGAAACCATGAAAATTGATCCATTATGTAGGCTCACAACGATGGGGAAAAATAAGCCAAAATATCCATTTGAGGGAAATGACTAATGCAATATAATTGAGAACTTAGTAAACAAATCAAAAACTGAGGGAAAGTTTAAAGGAATCCAAAGCAAACAAATATTGCATTAAAGAAAAGAAAAGAAAACTGCACTGGCTGGGTAGCTCAGTTGGTTGGAGCATTGTCCCCAAAATGCCAAGGTTGTGGGTTCGATCCCCAGTCAGGGCACATCAAAAAATGAACGAATGAATTCATCAACATGTGGAACAAAAATCAATGTTTTTCTCTCTCTCTCAAATCAATCAATAAAAAAAAAAATTAAAAACCAAACTAGATTCAAACACAGCAGAGAAAAACCTGGGCACACCTAACTACTGGTTCCTAAGTTCTTTATCTGTTTGGTTTTTGTTTGAGTTCTCATTTGTTCCCAACATATTTTTGGTTGTGTTAAATCACACATGAGTTGTCTCCCAGTAGATCACTATTTAAATTGACTGTTTTGAGTTTGGAGTGCGTTTTGCCATGGAAACAATGTGGAAAGAGTCCCAGGACAATAATCATAACATAGCTCTATTAGTTCCATGTAGACTGTCGTAATGGTTTAGTTCCTGTACCTGACCTGTGCAACCACCATCAAGACCATTTTCCATGAGAACGCATATATCTTGGCACATAGTGACATGAAGCCAGCTCTATTAGAAATATTGTTCCTTGCTCTCCTCCCCAGGCTAAAGTGGACATTGCCACAGTTCAACAGGAGATGCTATTTGGCATTTTCCCTGTTTTTCTGGACTCTTATACATTATATGGTAAAGGGCCATTACTGAAGACCTTAATCAATCTGATACTTATAAGTCAGAGAACACAAGGTCATCATTTTCCCCTTTATGTGGTAAAGCCTCAGTAACTAAAGAAAATTTCACTAGTTTCCAATCTGGTTGTTTTGCGCATATGCCGTGAGGTACTTCGCTAGGTGCTGTGGGTGAAGCCGCATTCCCAAATCACCTGGACACTAGTTGGCAATGCCAGCACATGTGGTCCCCATTTACAGTGGTTCAACTTATGATACCGGAGTTAAAAATCAACCTTAGGGGTCCTCTATTTCAACCTTCTCATTTTACTAGGGTGGAACTGAGACCAAGAGTTTAAAGTGCCTGGTTCTTTATAGTTGGTACCTGATTCTTGCCTTCTAATCCAACTCTCTTTCCTCCTTAAATAGTTTCTCATACTCTCCTGAGATAACCAACTGCAAATAATTTGTGCTAGGTTGGCTGGTCAATAATTTGTCCCAGATTGAAGCAATGTGCAATTACCCCAAGCCTCAAATTTGCAGCATACTATTAACAAACATTTGGGTTTGCTCCTCTCTACCTCTAGGACTGAACTTTTGTAAAATACAAAATCACTTTTTAAGAAAACCAACAATAGCTCCAAATTACTTGATCATCAGAGAGTTTTACAGCATTTCAAAGTTCATCCATGTGGGTTTGATTCTTACTGGCTCCATGACAATCTTTCTTATGTCTAAAAAAAATGTGTATATTTCCTAAGTTTGATTGTGTGCAGTGACAATAAACAGAGACTTGTTCATTCCTCTAGTAAATCCCAGACCCCATCTTGGCCAAATGGATCTCACTGCTCAGCACGAAACTAGTTCACTGTCTCAAGCTGCAAAAAGAGGCAGCAAGGCCGTGCATTGCAAATCAAGCTTTTTAATGAAATCCGCATGACTGCAGTTATTATTACCAGGGAGAAACATGCTGAAATATTCTATAACTGTGTGCTGCTTAGCAAGCACAAACCCAGGATGTAGGTTAATTTTGCTTTCTCTTTATTTCTTTATTTTATACAGGAATCCCTAAATTTTCTTCTTGAGAATTCAAAATATTTTCACTATCAAACACAGTCATGAACATAAAACAATATTAATTTGTATCATGAAAATCAAAACATTGTTTAGAATACGGTAAAGTGTATTTTGGGTTTTGAGTATTTGGCTTTTTTTGTTTTCTGGTCTATTGTTTATATTCACAGGCCCATGTCATTCACTTACATTTAACAAAACAAAACAACAAAAGAACTTTTTTTGTTTAACACAAGGGGTAAAAAAGTACATGGATAGTTCAAACAAAAGGAATCAAAGTGGTAAGGATGCATTAAGAAATACAAGCTTTAAAATCTTTTTTTTTTTCTGTATTACAAACTGGCTTTGCCAAACTAGTCAAAAGTTGTTTGGAAAGAGCAAGATATGCACTATAGGTCAGAATACATGGAGTAATGATTACAAAGTTATTGTATATTCCAATTTACCTGTTATGATCCTGTTACTATTACCTGCTATAAAATCTAACGGCAAATGCATTGAAATAAAAGCAAAATAATATATTGGTGTTTCTGTTGAAGAAACATTCCCCACTGTACCACCACATCTGCTATGAAAAATTTAAAGTATATTTTTCATATGGAATATAACTATTAACCTCTGTCTCCTACTGAACAATTTACTTTATAAAAAGCCATTTTTAAATTTTAGAAGGCAGGAATGCTACTTAAAAATGATATAGACATTCTGAAAGCTACCTTTCCTAAGATTTTTTTCTTTGAAAACATCAGGCTTGAACAGAACAGAAAAAACTATTGCTTTGATTCACTTCTTCATGAATTCAAAGAAGTGAGATTCCCAAGAAGAAGCTGAATGAGCGAAGTTTCTTACCCAGCCATATGGAGTTATGGAAAATGCCATTCTTATATCCCCATCCGTCAGCCTCTTCCCACAGCAAGGCAAATAAGGAAATTAGGATGATCATATCTCCGTCGCAGAGAGGTAATAGCCTACCAGGGGCTCCTCAGGGTAAAACCTCTGAGCAGAGGCTGCAATGTGACTGAAACATCTGGTTTCCACATCTTTTAAATAGTTTTTTCAACTGTGAGGTCAGCAGCTCCTCTCCAATGGCATTCCCCGCTGCAGAGTTTCACAATTAACTCAGTGTCTGAAGCAAATCCTTTGACTCATTTGCATTGGCAACTACAACTAAGGATATAGTGATCATCTACATTTTAAAATTCACTTACTCAAGAAGGTGTTCATTAATTCCATCAGTCACAGACACTTTTCTATTAGGAAGTTCGTGTAACTTGATGCAGTGTCAGCAGTGATTTAAAATAAAAAGTGTGCACAATTTGGCAAATCCTAAACCATCTGCAGTGACGTAGGATTTCTTTACACTCTGTCTGCTTTTCTCCTGTTGTAGGGTCTGTTGCAGTCCTTGCTTTATTGTGGTTGGCAGGTAAGTACATCAACTCCCAGAAAAGTAACACAGTTTTGGAGCCTTAGGACATTCCAGCAGCATTTTAACACAAATTTCCCCAAGCCACAAATCCTTGAAATTTGGGGGGAAAGATGGAGGAGTGATAGTTATACTTAATAAAAATACGGTCCTACCTTCCCCAGCCACTCTAACTTTGAAGATGATCAAAATAGTAGGTAATAATTATCACAGTAAAGTCTCCACACCCTAAAATATCCCAAACTTCATTCTCCTTATGTGTAGGGTCTTTCAATAACATGCCTGGCAATAACCCCAGTGCTCTGATGCTAGTGGCATTTCCTGTGGACTCGCAGCCAATTTTTTGCAACTTTGGCTTCTCTTTCTTGAAAGTTGTTCTTTGCTACTTAGTATCTCTAGTCTTGCTACTAAACTGCTTCCCATTTGCTTCCTTTATGTTCACTTTTCTAATATTGAACACTTTTTTAGTTCCTCCAGTGATCCGAATTCTTTGAAAAAACCAACTTTCTGGACATGCTCTGGTCTGAAGTCAGCCTTGAATCCTTTAGCTAACACTGCATTGAATATGGAAGGCGTGCCTTGGTTTCATCTCTCCTCAGAAAAGCAGTTGTGGGGATATAGGTTGAGGGTACAGAATTTATTGGATGCTCATTGAGATACACATAATGTTAAGAGGGCTCAAAATCTCTATTTGGGGCCCTCCGCAAATGAGAGATGAGAGAATTGCATCCCAGTTCACTGATAGGGTTACCAAGTTTAAGCATGGTCAGCAAGAATGGATGAATAGATAGTTGGGAGGAACATACTGTGATATTGCTTTGGAAAGTAGAATTACATGGGTATTTTAAGTGTGCGGTTTAGGAAGTAAATATAACTTTCCTTGCACAGGGAAACAGCAAAACCCTGACAGCCTTCCCTATTCTTTGCCCGGTACAACCTCTGGCCATGCCTTCTGCATCTCATCTAAGATGTCTGTCCCTGGTTCTCATTTATCAAGAATTACTCTCAGGAAAGGGTTAGAAATTAACCTTTATTTGGGTCAAATAACTAGCAACACATACCCTTCCTTTATTCATTTGCATTTTAATGAAGCTCCAGGTACAGCAGGGTGTGAATGTTCATCTTGTTTTAACATGAAAATTTAATGATTGTTGTGATGGATTAACCCAATCCAGAGTGGAGAATTTTTTCCCCCCTTTCCTAGCTCCCCATGCAGAGGACAAGGATTTCTGTTTGCAAAGTTTGGAAACCCTGTCTGTCCTATCACCCAGCAAATAGAAAAATAGTGCCTAATGATGTGGGCTCTGGTTTTGAGGACTGACTTAAGAAACATCCAAACCTGTAGAGAACTTTCATGAGTTTATTTGAACTAAACTGACCACAATTGCCAAGAAGCAAAATTTCAATGAATTGAGAAAATGCTCCAGAAAATGGCAGTTTTGCAGCTTATTTTATACATTAGAATCAAAGGTGGAGACATAAGGAAGGTTACATGTGTGCCTTGAGGGGTCTGGAAAAGAGATTACTCTGACAATTCAAAGATATGTTATCCTAGATGCAAAAAGACAATGGGGAAGCCTCACTTAAGGTAAAAATTGACCTTTGTCTGGAAAGCTACAGGCCTAAGACATGAATACCCTTCATGACCCGCTTTTTTTATGTTTAGATCATCTTACGTGGTTATTTTCAGTCTGTGAGCTTGTAGGGCCTGCCATGCTGGCCTCCCCTGAGCTTATCAGGTTTAGTACACGGACCTTTTTTATTTTTGTCCACAAGGGGGTGTTCAATTCTTTTGTGGAAGAAAAGAGAATGAGATTTTTATGTGGAAAAGATGCAGTGGGTGTAGATGAGAAGCAGCAGAGTAAGAGGGAGAAGCAGAGGGAGTGTTACCTAGGAACCTACCTTGGAAGTTGCCTAAGGTAAGTGGGCACCCCCACCCAACTCCCGATACGCACTACCCAGGATGTGTGTGAGGAGCAGAGAGAAGATACATTGGATAAAAATTCCTTTCAAGGGTGTAGAAAATTCTACCGGCGAAATGCTCTGCCTTGACGATTAAATGCCACCACACCCTCAACTTGCCTCCCCTCCCCTGCCCCTCCATCTGTTGGGCAGGGTGTTTGTTGACCCCTTTTGCACATTCCAGTGACTGGCTGAAAACCCAGAAAGACTGTTTTCTTGTTTGCTTGTTTTTTGCAGAGGCAGCTCCCCTCTTGGTTGCTTTCCCACAATGTTCCAATGGCCATAAACCTAAGCAGCTACTAGATACCTAAAGACATGGTGGGGAGAAGTCCACATCCGGTTTGAGCTGAGACTGCACTGAACAAGAAGACTAAGATCTCCTAAACCGGCACAGTGATTTGTTGATAACACTATTACACAAATGTTCTTAAAAAAATAAAATGAGACTCTAAAACAGAATTTCAAACATCAGAAGGCAAGAGGATAAGGCCTTTTAAAGTCTTTTCTAAAACTTTAATTAGTTAATTTTTATTGAGGTTATTATATTGGTTTATAACATAAATTTTATATATGCAACACTATGATTTAATATCTGCATATTCTATTGTGTGTTTACCATCAAAAGTCTAGTTTCCATCTAGTTTTCAATTACCATGTATTTGACCCCCTTCTCCCAATTTCCCCCATCCACCACCTCTGGTAATCCCCACTCTGTCCTCTGTATCTGTGCATTTGTTTTGTTTTGCTTTGTCAGTTCTTTTGTTACTTTTTGTTTTATATTCCACATATGAGTGAGATCATACCGATTTTGTGCTCTTCCACCTGACTTAACCGCTCAGTCTCTGCTGACAGGGAAAATGTATGGAGAAATGTTAGGGGGATATAGACAGATGCAGGAAAATAAGGGAGGAAAGAGATAGAAGTTCTAAAAGATCACATTTTACTTAAAGACTGGATTTGCAGTAACATGGAAACAGGGAACAGACTTATAGTTGCAGGGCGGGGGAGAATGAGAGAAAGAAGGGGAAAGGATTAGTCAAAGAACATGTATGAATGACCCATGAACATGGAGAATAGTTTGGGGGTGAACTGTAGGGGGGAACAACTGGGCCAAAGGGGGAAAAATTGGGACACCTGTAATAGAATAAACAAGAATTTAAAAAAGACTGGATTTGAATAACAAGACATTGTGGAAAATTGCAATTCTTTGGTGAATAGTGTGAAAATTAAAACATAAATTATATCATATATTGATTGTATTTTGTATTGTTGGAAAGAAAACGCAAGAGGAGAAGGAAAGAAAAGGGTGGAGCTCAGTGAATTGCCAAATACATCAGTAGAGGACATCTTTAAGAACACAGCCAACAAGGCCATGAAATTACAGTACAGGAATGCCCCCAGCCACCTTAAGATCTCCACAGGAACTAGGATAGGAATAGAGGCAAAATAAAAAATAAAGCTCATTCTCCTTGAGCATGATTTAACACAATTGGAGAGAAATTCTAATGCATAGCATAGAATAACTTTAAAGAAATGAAATATATGACATTGCACTCATTCATTCAATCAAGATCTTAAAAATCTTGAGGTAGAATGCAGCAAACTTTTACAGGACCAGTAAGCAGAATAGAGCCTATATAAAACAATGGCAAGTATATGGAAAGGTGAAATATTTAATTATTTTACATCAAAAAGCGTTTAGAAAGCGAATATGACACTACATAGAATAATGTGCTTTCAAATTTATGAGGAAGCACGTCAGAAAGAGATCTGAAACTGACATTGAACTTTCTGTAGGTATATGGTATGATAGTCATTAGTAATGCCCACCAAGCATTTCTGGCTGTCCACCTTCTGGCAGCACATTAATGTTGCACTCCCTGGTCCTTTGTGGTTTGGTGGAATCATGTGATTATTTCTGGCCAACAAAATGTGACTGGAAATGCTACACGTTATCTCAGAGATGAGCATTTGATTGTTGATGCTCCAGAACTCTCTTTCCCTGGGCATGGAGGGTAATGTCTGAGAGGGGGGCTGCCTGATCACCTGAATCCCTGACTGATCTCTAATGCTATGTAGCATGAACAAAATATAAACCTAGTTTTAAGTCACTGATATTTTGGGGTTGTTTGTTACTATTAGCAAAATTTAATCTGTCCTGATTTATAGGAAGAAGTGAGCTTATATGGCTACTGAAGCAAAGAATGATTTCAGAAGGTTGGGAGTCTAAGGACATTCAGATGTGAAAGTTATTACAAGGAGGAGAAAGAGGAATGAAAACAAAGAGAAAGAAACAATGATTAATATACTTACTATCCTCTGTCTCCTCCATCCCACCTCCTACAACACAGAGCTCCCCAAGTGGTCTATGAGCTGCCTTCTAAATTTGTTTACTAGTACGTCCCGATATGCTCTCATTCCAATCAGACTGTTCCGTCTGATTAAGTCTTCAATTGCTTTGTGACTCTTTCCATTCATCATCCTTCCTTTCAGTACAACAGATGGAACCACAGAAAGTAGAGGAATCAACCATATTTCCTAGATCCTCCTTCACATCTGTTACCAAGCTGTGAAAAAAATCTGAAGCTTCATTTTTTTTTTCTTCTTAAAGTGATTTTAGGGAGAGGGA